AAAGCCTTATCAATTGTCATTCATATGCGAAAATAAAAAAAGTGGATATCGCCCTGCGTTGACCTCAGGTCAGGTCATTTTTATGACCTGTCCATTATTACGAGCGTGAGCGACAACGAGATCTCGAGAATAAAGCAAGATAGCGACAAGCGGTAAACGGTGCAGGATACAAATGGATAAGGTCTATAATTTTTACTCAGGTCATTTTCAGGTCAGGTCAAAGATGACGTCACAGGAGCAAAAAGGAAGTCAAAATTGCGGCACTACATATATATGAAGTTTTTCTCGAATAACTTTCAAGGTATCCCAGCTAGGAACAAACTAATAGCACCATCGTGATCCTCTCGTCGATCCGCATCGAAATATATGTATGTTGACCTCGAAAGGTCGAAAGGTTAAAAGTTGACCTTAGGTCACGTGACGAGCGGGAGCGACAGCGAGATCTCGAGAATAAAGCAAGATAGTGACAAGCGGTAAACGGTGCAGGGTACACACGGATAAGGTCTATAATTTCTATTGAGGTCATTTTCAGGTCAGGTCAAACATGACGTCACAGGAGCGAAAAGGAAGTCAAAATTGCGGCACTACATATATGAAGTTTTTCTCGAATAACTTTCAATGTATCCCAGCTAGGAACAAACTAATAGCACCATCGTGATCCTCTCGTCGATCCGCATCGAAACATATGTATGTTGACCTCGAAAGGTCGAAAGGTCAAAAGTTGACTTCAGGTCACGTGACCTAAGGTCAACTTTTGACCTTTCGACCTTTCGAGGTCAACATACATATGTTTCGATGCGGATCGACGAGAGGATCACGATGGTGATATTAGTTTGTTCCTAGCTGGGATACCTTGAAAGTTATTCGAGAAAAACTTCATATATATGTAGTGCCGCAATTTTGACTTCCTTTTTGCTCCTGTGACGTCATCTTTGACCTGACCTGAAAATGACCTCAGTAAAAATTATAGACCTTATCCATTTGTACCCTGCACCGTTTACCGCTTGTCGCTATCTTGCTTTATTCTCGAGATCTCGCTGTCGCTCCCGCTCGTAATAATGGACAGGTCATAAAAATGACCTGACCTGAGGTCAACGCAGGGCGATATCCACTTTTTTATTTTCGCATATGAATGACAATTGATAAGGCTTCAATCGTCATCAGACAAAATTGCAACTTTCAGTGGGGAAAATATCAAGGCCACTCTTCGAAAAATAGGTCAAAAGGTCACGTGATCAAAATTTTCAAAAATTGAAAATCCGAGATAGCCAAAATGTTTGTTGGTTGATTGTGAGTTAAACCATATAAAGTTTTTGTCGTAGAAAACCAATAGTTTTTTAGTTATAGGCCACCAATCATAGGGCTGCAGCGCGACATCCAGGAATTGCCCGAGGCTATATCTCGGAAACCGTTGTTCGAAGAAAAAAATCCTTGCCACAGCTGGCTTCCCCGCCCATCACAACCCATTAGACCAATTTTAAGCAAAAAATAAAATATGAGGGTGCAGGGCACTTGTCGATTTGTCGTGGAACGCCCCCTAGGCGACTTCAAATCTTCCCGGCACCGCTTTCGGTGCGCGCAATTGTCGGCGGGTCATTATTCAAGGTTGCATCAGCCTTTCAAAGCCACTATTCCCTGAGACCCTTCCTCGGCACGCGAGCAAGACAGTCGCAACAATTGGGAAACCGCTGCACCGCTCGCATCATTACCCCCACACTTCCGCCGCTGGCTCCCGTCATAAGCCACACACGCCGGCAGGCTCAAAAACCACTCGGAACTATCGTCACTAATTATCCCATAATCTACTTTCTTTTCCGTCTGGCGGCGCGGATCGTTGAGGTCGCCGTGTCGTCACCGTCGTGGGTCGTGCCGCTCAGAGGTCAGGTCAGACCCGTCGGGATCCGGACGGGCTCGGGCTAACACTAATGGACGACGAGTCGTCAAGAGTTGTGCTCGAGGACAGGAGGAAATGGTGTGCTGGGTAGGGCAACGGGTAGCGCTTCCGCTGGACTACTCGTAGTGCGATATGCGATAGTGCGATATTGGGGCCAGATGGCAGATGAGAGAAGCTAAACTTCACTCAATACTTACATCTCTAAGAGAAACCCACACTCTACAGTTTTTTTTACTCACACTTACAACAAGGCACTGCAGGTAGGTATGTGAAGTGCAATCGTGAGAGAAAAAAACAGCCTACGAAACTTACACATCGCTATTCGTATGCTAGCGAGGGAACGGGTCTGTCATATAGTTAATTTATCAATGTAGTGGTCACTAGTAAAGCCGGTGTTTGGCACCCGACACTTACCGTAACCGTTGCTCATAATGGCACAGGAAGCGCTGCTCCGCCTCTGTGAAAGTGCCGTCAGTAATGGAACGCACGGGGAGGAGCCGGGCCCGCTCCAGAGCCATTTCTCAAATACCGGCGACATAAGTTCCGCTGCCGTTTTGTCAAACCGCGGCGCCTGGAAATCAGAACGGGCACCGTTTTCGAAGAGTGATGCTCATATGCTCGAGCAATGTATCAGACCCCGAGTTCGCAGAAAAGTTTTGGTCGGTGAGCGATATGCCTACCTACTGATGGCAGCGGCTTTAATCAAACTTTTTTTTTGTATTTGTTGGCATTATACTATATCATATATCTACCGCAAAACCTTCAGACTTTGGAAAATATTGGTATATTTCCTTTTGCATTTATAGGTATGCTTACTAAAATTTAATCCCATGCATCTTTATGCATGCAAGTGGGATGCATTTTTCTTATGTTTATTCTCAAATCACCAATATCGCCACGCCAGTTCATAGATATCAATCAATAGTCCCAAATCCATTTTCGCGTAGCCCAAGTCATATAACCACCCACCGCTCTCATCCATAGCTACCCGGCATGGCTTCCGTGCTGTTTAATTTGAGCAGCGGTCCATCACTGATCAGACAGGCTGGGACGCTCCGTATATCGGATAGCACGCGGGGTCAGGGCGGCCCGGGCCTCCGGCCGCAGGAATTCAGCCGGCACACCGCGCGCCCGCACAACGGTACCCTGTGTCCGCTCAGTACGGAGAGGGGTCGAGTGGGGCGGTGGTGCGGCGACGCCAACGTATGTATGTATGTATGTATTGCTTATCTTTGGAGAAACCACACAGGCACTTACACTCCAGCGTCAAGCACAATCAAAGTAAGTTAAAATATGAAGCGAGCAGATCATTGTAAGAGGTCACACAGCCACACTGACATACCTATCGGGATCATTTGGACGCCAAACAACTGCGTATGCTTCGCCTGAACTTGGCCGCCCTCGACTGCCTCACATCCGGTGGCAGGTGGTTCCAAGTCGCAATGGCTCGGTGAGGGAACGACATTTTTGTGCTCTGCAGACGACACCTAGGGATTTGTAGCATAGTATCATCAGCGGTGGAGCGCGTCGGTCTCAGCGATACCTGTGACCGAGTCTCAACGAGTGCCCTCAGCTGCGGAGATGCGTCCCTCTGCCGCATTACATGATAGATTCGCTGCATATCGCGCAGATCGATCATCGCGTCGAACGTAGGCCAGCCTAGCTCCAATCGGGCTTCCGTGACGCGGTCAAATTTACGGAGCCCTGTGACAGTTCTGACTGCGAAATTTAACACCTTCTCGATCCGTTTCCTGAGAGTCTTTGATTTGGGGGCCCAAACAGGAAGACAGTACATGAGTGTGGGGAACACCAGCGCCTGAATCAACATTTTGGTTGTCTTTATCAACGTGCCATTATGCGGTATCGCAGGACGCCGGAGGGCGTCCAGTCATTCATAGAGCAATTCTAGCAAGCATGCCACTGCACGCTAGAGTGGATTCGAATTCTGTCAGAGCCAGGACATGGAGGACCTTAGCCAGGACAGCAGGACACTAGAACGCGTCCTTCCACCGATGGAGGGCGGCTTACGGAGGCCCATCGGTGGAGCTGCTGCGGTACGACAGAAAACGGAGAATGCAGTGTCGTTTAGTCCAGCTTTTCGATAAAGTCATCAGCATACCTAAGCATTGAAACGATGCATTACTCGTTATAACTTATACTGAGTGATTTCCAACAAAATGTTTCAGACATTTTTAAAATGGATGATTGGTCCAAATTAGATCGCCCAGATCACCATAAATCACATTTTAGGGTGCATCTATATCGGCTCAATCATTCGGACAATCACACAAAACAGCTCTGACCCCACAAAAACTGCGACCACATTCTTTGGCGGCCCTGCGGCTCCAATATCCGTTCGTCATCGGTCGCCGCTCATCCATTCATGCATGTAATCCAGCCTAGTCCTGGATCGAGCGGTCAATTAGTATTATAGCCGGCCGAATTCGGTATCCGCTGACCGGTATTGCTCGCTGCGGGACGCCATCCGATCCATCCTAATTCGGCGGTGGGCCGCGGGCCGACGGCCGACCCGGAGGCGTATTTTGAATTCACCATAGGGCTCAGCCACTCCTAGCGGAAAATTCTGGGGAATTCTCCCCCTGGCGACAAATGTGGGGAAATGAGCATAAATGTGTAAGTCCCTAGAAACTAATTCTTCCCAAGAAGTCCCCCACTACATTAGTGATGCAAGTTTGACTGGGGTATATTAGAGATGCAAATTACATGAAAAGATGTTATATTTTATGTTAAGATTGAGAAACCGTGCTTATAGTGGAAGGTATGTTAATGATGCAAACATATTAGCGAACTGGGAGTGGTCACTGGTCACCTGCTAATTTTGCGTCATTCCGCTAACGCTAGTTGAGCCAGTTATTGCTTGAAGCGTCATAACTTCGGTATAACTATACATCATTATTTGTTGGCTATTAACTGAGATCTGATTTCTTTATCTTTTAAAGAAGACTTAATATAAGAGAGATGGTAGCATCGTCTTGGTGTCATATCTGATCAAAGCGGCCATCCTCCAATGTCCCAACTTACCCCGCGGCGGGGGTCAGTTGGGCCAAGGCCTAAGGCAAGTTGGTACACTAGGAAAAACAGTTTATCTAAACACATTTTTATTCATGTTTCACATGAACAATCATCGCTAATCCATGCGGGCATTAACGACAAAACACAAACGTTTGCAGTACTCCTGCGGCAAACAAAAAGGCACACACAACGACACTAGAAGAGAATATTTTCACAGCAAGAAAATCACTTTTGGTACCTGAAACACATTTGTAGCGATTATTAACAGCACTTACCTCAGCACGCGCCGACACCACGTTGACAAACAGACGGCGTTACTGTTCATGTACAAAATAAGTTTGAACGCCAACTGTCGAGAAGTATTGGAAATATCCCTTCCGTCCCAACTTACCCCCCCCCCCCCTGGCACCAACTTGCCCCGGTCACCCCCACTTCACCTCTATCACTCAGCGCCCCAGGGGGCGGTTCTGGTCAACACAGGTGGCCAGGCTGTGGGGCGCCGCCGACCGCCTGGCGGAGGCTGCCACGTAGCCGTGCTCCCCGGTGCGCGCGGAGCGGCACGGCCGTCCAGCGGGCCAGCGAGCGCGCCCCCGCACGTTGGTGCTGGTGCGACGGGCAGTGCTGGTCGGCTGGACCGGAATCTGGGTGGCGTTCCGCCGGCAGCCCTGCGCGCCTCCAAACTGGTGCAGAGCGGACTGGCGGCCAGCAGTGGGCAGCTGGCCCCACCTCTGCTGAAAGGCAGCGGCAGCCCTCTCCCAGGTGTCGTCCTGGACGACTGCCTCGCACATGAAGGCTGCCCACTCCTGGATGAACGCCACGGTTTGGCGTGTCCGGTCATCTGAGCGTCGCTGCTCAGCTCCACTGACAGCCGCCGCCGCAGCGGCGGGGTCCTCGAAGTCCATTGCGTCGTCGTCGTACTCCTCGGGACTCGGCGACGGCTGGGGCTGCGCGACTCCGGGGGCGCTGGCGGGCGTGGGGACAGGAGGTGACGAGGTGGACGGCTCGGCGACCAGAGGGTCGAACCAGTTGCCTGGCAGCTGCTGGCTGGTCCCCATGGCGATGTCCATCAAGGCCCTCCGCGTCTCCTTTGTCGCCGTCGCCTCCGGCACAGCGCCAGTCTGCTGCCGCACGGCTCGGAGGTGTTTGCAGCCGCCAGTCCGCCGGTTCATCCTGCAGGTGCAGGCGCCGACGTTCAGGTCCACCAGGTAGGTGATGCCGACCGACGTCAGCGACTTCACCTGATAGGTGAACTCCGTCACCTGTGGGAGGGGCAACACATAAAATCCTGTAAAATTCGTATGTACAGTCTGTCTTAAAAGTACCGCGCAAAGTGACGGTGGATCCATCAAGCCTTACTGAAGAAAGGCCTGCTTTACTTTGAAAGTCACCGAACCAATTGACCTGGGGAATGGACGAGAATATCAATTGCTTTGATGACTCAAATTGAGCAGGCCCTTCCTCGGTCAGGCTTGATGGATCCACCGTTGCTTTTTCGCGGACTTTTAAGACAGACTGTACAACATAAACTGACGGACGGTTACTTGTACGAAAATCCGAACCTGTTCATTCGCCCCAGTACTGTCAGCTTGGCCTTTTAAAACAGACCCCCAAAGGGAAAAAAGAAGAAACAAGAAAAAACGCGAAACGAGTCACGAGATGTGGCACACAGCGCCAACACCACGCGGCCCTACAGTGGCACAGCGGTACAGTGACAGACTCTTGTGTGTGAATGCACAGCAATGTGGTTTATTGGTGCTTAGGGGTGCGCCGATTGCATTGGTCACTTTGCACAGCCATGTGGCAGTACGGGTGGGACCAGCATTGGAAAACGAGCTGTCTTATGTGACCTCAATCAGTTCTCGTGTCATGCAAAATACCTGCGTCACAGTGCCCGTTTCTTGGCTGGTGCCGCCGCGGACCGGTGCCGCCCGCTGCCGGCCGTTGGCCACGTCGCACGCCCTCCTGGCGTAGTGCTTGCTGAGCTGGACCGTGACGAAATCAAACAGCTGCAGCAGGTTGAACGCCCGAGTCCTGGAAAAACAGCGCGTGTCAAGCGAATATTTCAACAATTTCTTTGCAGCTATAATTAACGGTAGACTGCCATCGTATGGACACAATAAGGCTTTCAGAAGAGCAGCCAAAAGCACAACTAACAATTTCACAACCTACCCGAAATGCGAAAGTTTGTTTTTCTTCCACATGTAGGGTTAACAGAAATGTAAAACCGTGATATTCACAAGTTAATCCGTGTTAATCCATGAAAGTCACAAGTTAGTAATTAACGTCTTTGACGAAGGGATGTATGGTCCAATTCCGTTTCGGGGGCTTCAGGCTCTGAACTTTGGCAGACACTGGGGAGAATTGCACAGTCCTAGGGATTTTGATGGTGTTTTCGAGAACATTTTACCGGCTAACTCTCAGCCCTCCGACCTATATTGAAAGGAAAACTACTCCCCTGCTTTGGCTTTTTTTCCAATTATTTGTCTTTATTAATTGGAATTTGTCTGTAACTGCAACTTTGACATTTCTTCAACATTTGCCACTTTTGGGCAACCTTACAACTTGAAATATTTTAAAATAGTAATGAATCTATCGCAATACCTCCGGTCACCGAAACAGTTTTACAATCAACTTTAGTTAAAAGACAGGTTTGTCTATGAACGCCAGGTTAACTGTTTTATTTATTGAACCGCAATTAGGTGAAACATATGAATAAAGACTGACCTGTAGAGGACAGCGTCTTTGAGGACTCTGAAGGCGGACTCTACGATGTTGTTCGTGTTGTGTCCCCGGGTGGGGACATCCGTGCGGAGACACAGCGCCCACTCTTGACGGCGGGCAGCGAAACCCTGCAGGTACTGGTCCAGCAGTGGGTAGCGCTCGCCCCACTCGGTAGCCACCAGCTCCATCGTCGTCGCTATCTCCGCCTCATTGTTGGCGTACACGAGCTGTTTGGCTAGTGCCATGATAGCCTGCCTGTGCTGGAAGAAAATGCACAATTTAACTGGTATCCGAGTGTGGGAGGCGGGAGGGGTGAAGGGTGAAGGGTGAAGGTAAATGTAAATATAGGGGGTGTTTGAGATGAAATTAATCAAACTCATTTACGTTCTTTTACAGCTTTTAGACCAGTATCACTGCATGTCTATTCCTGACTGCCAGCCTATGCCTGTCTAGTCTATGCCTGACTGCCTGCCTATGCCTGCCTCTGCCCAGCTGTCTGCCTGCCTCTCTCTCTCTCTCTCTCTCTCTCTCTCTCTCTCTCTCTCTCTCTCTCTCTCTCTCTCTCTCTCTCTCTCTCTCTCTCTCTCTCTTTCTCTCTCTTTCTCTCTCTTTCTCTCTCTCTCTCTCTCTCTCTCTCTCTCTCTCTCTCTCTCTCTCTCTCTCTCTCTCCCTCCCTCTCTCTATGTCTCTGTCTCTTTCTCTGCCTCCCTCTCTCTCCCTCTCTCTCTCTCTCTCTCTCTCTCTGTGTTTCTCAAAAAGGGGTAATTAGACAAAAATGAACGGAAATTCATTCCCAGTAGAAACTACTCACTTGCTTGTCGATGCCATGTTTGCCGTTGTGAAGCCATCGCCAGACGGCCTGCAGCACGTGAAACGTGCACAGCAGGAGCCGCGCCTCAGGCCACACCGCCGACAGCGCGTTCCGCTCGGCCTGACAGTCGTCCGTCATGAAGCACAGAGGGCCGCGCCTTCCACGCCCGCCAAAGGCGCCTGTCAAAGAAGCATTCTCGGTCAAACACGATATTGGATTTTATACACCAATGCACAACTGACTGGACAATTCAGAGTTTAGCCGCCAGATATGGGAATTCATGGCAAATGTAGGTATATCGTACCGTCTGGTAAAATCCCGACGAGCAGCCGGAAGGCTTTGTCCACCACGGCCTCGGTCTCCGAGGTGGAGACGATGACACCGAGAGGCAGACCACCGGCCGGGCTCCAGCACATCAGCAGGAAGACGCGCTGGCCGTGCCGGTCCATCCCTCCTGAGGCGTCGACGAAGACCACCTCTCCCGCGTCGGGGAGCGTGTGGACGCGCTCCATCAGCGGCGTCACCGCCGCGATCACCGTCTCGCCGTCCTCGACTGAGACCGCCGTGCGGACGTCCTTCATGTGGCGGATGAGGTCCATGGTCTCCTCCTGGGTCGAGGCTGGGTAACGCTCCCGACAGTGCTTGTAGTACAGGCTGAAAACACATTGCATTGTCAATTGACTTCCAGCTGCAAGTGGTGGTCAGTTTCATTTTGTGATAAAATACCGATTGCATAACAGTGTACTTATGGTTAAGCTTCAGCTGTCCCACTTGTTCCTGATTCGTCCTAATCAAAATATAGCTTACCCCTCAGCGCATTGAATTACACAAATCCAAGGTGAAAATAATGTTAACCTGCGCTGGGCCGGAAGGGGGGCGTCTAGACGCCATTCCCCTTCAGGTTTTTCACGAAAAGCAGGAAAACGGAAATGACCCTGACACATAGGCGTACGTAATATGATTATCGATAGCTTTTACTAAACCAGAGTGCATTTATCGCAGCGTAAAATGTTGCGAGTTTTTAGCACAACACAATTCATAGATAACAGTAGAACTGGATGTGACACGAAAACAGGCAGATTGCAATAGGGGACCCAAAAATTGTCAATGGCCAGATCAGTCTCGGATCGCAACCACATATCCCAGACATGCGGCCTTCTTTTCTGAGTAGCCCTATCATCTCTGCTCCGTGTAACGATCAATTGCATCTCATATATGAGAATCATGTGTAACTTTATAGGGAAAGTCTTATTATTTCAGATACTGTCCCTACAGACTTGCTAACTTGTGGCAGTGTGGCTTTGCATCAAGCTGTTAAAAACTTACTAGTAGACGGCCATCCGATCTGGGACAATGGCTCGGTCTGCGGCCACCGACGGGTAGGCGCTCCCATGCTCCTCCTGAAGCTGTAGTTTCAGGGTCTCCAGCGCCGTGGAGGGCGAGTGGTGGTGCTGGAACAGCTCCATCAGCCGGGCCTTCGTCAGCTCAGAGACGCGTCGATGTCTCAGAGCGGCAGCGTTGTCCACGGCGTGGTTGTGGGGCTTCTTGTTACATGTCACCCGTAGCTCGTAAGCCGCGCATGGGTCTGTAGACCTATTCCTGGAAAGGGAGGATTCGTCAACAAATATAAAAAAACACGAGACGATGGTGTTATTCAGAAGAAATTCCGCTCCTTCCACGCACTTTTATAGGGTACCAGCAAGAAACCTTTTGAGGCAAGGAACGAGCGAGGTGAAATGTTTCGGATTATCACCGTTTTTAGTTTTCTGAGCCAAGATTGGCACAACTAAGAAAGATAGCGACTTGAAATCTTTTCGGCAGCGAACTCCTTCATCAAATATGTAGTTTTTTTTTTTTCAATTGCGGTTGATCGTTTGATCAACTAAGGCGTTTGTAAAAAGCAGGGCTGCGGAGTCGGAGTCGGAGTCGGTCGGAGTCAACAGTTTTGGTCGGAGTCGGAGTCGATCTTTTTTCTTGGCCAGAGTCGATAAGATTTTACCGACTCCGGCCATGTAGTCCGAAAATCGCCTTTCATCAAGTGAAATTGTTGTCTGGTGAAAGCAAAATGGCAATTATCCCGATGATCCAAAGTGGTCAGACAACAAAATCGACCTACGATTTTGATCAGCCTTTTCTTTTCTCCCGAAGTTCACGTCTCTGCACTGGTTCGGTGAACCAAAGGACCAAATAAATGCTTTCCAGAACTAATAGGTCGGAGTCGGAGTCAGAGTCGATTTTGTGAGGCCGGAGTCGGAGTCGGAGTTGGCTAAAGTTGGGTCGACTCCGCAGCCCTGGTAAAAGGTGCCAATGACAAAAGACGGTGAGAAACTTGCCGTTTTGGAATGTTGGCGACAGTCACTTTCAGGCGCAGGGGGCACCCGGTGTCCTTGGCGGATTGGTTTTTCCTCGGACGACTCGGCTTTTCTGGGACGTCGTGGTGACAACGAAGCCTGGCCTGAAAAAAAAAAAATTGACAACATTAACAAAAGTGATGAAATCAATTGCCACTCATTAGTCCGTCATTTAAATGAGGATGAAAGTTTCTCGATTTAAAAACGTTACCTTTTTAACTGACCCTGATCATGGTGTTTCATTAACCCGCACCTTCCTGCGATATAAAAGAGTAAAAGTTACTGGGTGCAGTGGCGCACCCAGGGAGGAGTCAGGGGGACAAAGGGGTCAGCTGACCCTCCCGAAATCTAGCGGGCCCGCTGGTAGGTGCCCGTCCAGTCCTCCGAGACACCCGGTATGACGGCTGGATGACTGGTCCTCAGTACGCGGCATCAAGCTGGGGATTCATGCAGCCAGCCCAGGCCGCCGGGCCCTCTGTCAGTAGACCCCGACAGGCTTTCATACGGCGGGTCTTTGCTGAACCCTCAGGAGGCTCTGCACCAGCAGAATTTTCCATTGGCGGGCCCAGGTCGAGTGCTCGGGCAAAAGTACCCCCCTGCCGAGCTTTACACGGCGAGCCCAAACTGGTATTTCATAAACTAAAGCTCTCACCCAGTACACCACCCTTTGGCCATTCGACATGGAGTCGTACGTCGTCAGGGTGATGTTGGCGGCCTCTTGGTACAGCTGAATCCACTGCAGGGCCGATTCCTTTGACGCCGGACATCGGTAGGCCACAGTGGTGCCCTCCATCAACTCCTGAAACGAAATAATGCAAGGTCTCACTGGGGTATTCTTGTCTGGGACCAATGCACGATCGTATTACCGTAATAGTCAGCTATAATGCAGATGACAAATACTTAGTGACAAGACGCGTTATATTCAAATACAGATCACCGCACACACCACTCATACCAATAATATTGTCATTCACAATTGATAAAACTTTGTTACCGAAGCCTGTGGGGAAAGTTGATAGTTCCATTTTAAAAATGGAAGTTTTCATTCATGAAATGATTGCAACATGGCTCAAACCAATTACATATAATATGTGTTACTGCAAATTGAAATTGCCATCATCGGCAATTGCTATTGCTTTAAGCAAATTGCTATATTTGATGCTCACCGGTTCCAGGTCAGGAATCATATCAAGCTTCTCGCACAAGATGTACTTGGCATCAGCCTTCCAGATTACTTGGAAGTGATCCTGTTGGAAGAAGGAATGTTCCATAAAGTTAGTGGCGGACTTGTACCTATTCAATATTTAATATCAATATAGTAACAATGGTTACACGACTCATAATCTTCACTTACAGCATTTCTTAAAAATTACCTATGTAAAGATTATAATTCTGCTGGTGATACCTATAGCCATGTGGGTAAATGTCAAGTTTAAGTCCTAAGCAGATTTCATGGATAATTTTTTCATATTCTTACATTATTTGGCCGGTACACATGGAGGTCCCCGCTTCAAAATTAGTTAATTTTGAATTTAGTGTTTCCGACCATTATTTGACATCCTGAATCCAAAAATGATACTTATATGTCTCGTAACTAAAAGAAAAACATAATCAAACCTGAACTAACCTTACCTTTTCACCTATAACCTACCAATCTACTACCTACAAACCTACAATGCAACCTAAAACTTACAGCCTAACGTAACCTAAAACATAATTTTTTTGCTGTTACAGATTTGTATCAACAGCGTCACAGTTATAGTTAGGACCTAAACTTGACATATACCTGTATTTCTTGCGCCCTAACCCACAACAACAGCAACAACAACTGTATTTCTTGCAAAGAACATGCACCTAAAATGGAAATACTTATTAATCACCAACCTTTTCCAGCATCTTGAAGCATATATAGGCCTCCGCAATAAACGAGCAAACATGAGACACGAAAAAGGCGCTTTGGATTAAAAGGCGCGCCAGTGGCATCGGAAGAGCTGCCAGATCGGCTGAAATCCCTAGCGCGATTTCGCTTTTTTCCAAGGTGCCTAGAATTCCTCTAGGAATGGCTGAGCCCTATGGTGAATTCAAAATACGCGACCCGGAGAGCTGACCCGCGCGGCCGCCGCTCGGCTGCACCGGCCGGCCGGACGCGGCGCGGCGGCTCGGCCCGGCCCGGCTGGTGAGCGGAGTGGACCTCGGAGCGGTGTGGTATAGCCTTGCGGGCCGCTCAGTGGTCGACGGAAGCACGCCGAATGGTCAGATTCATCTCCCGCTGGGTCTGACCAGGTTCGGGCAGTGCGGTGACCGACAGAAGAGTAACGGTTCGGCTAACTTTTGATTAAACAACGGGATGTCCAAATACTATAGTGTGCTCTTATGATGAAGTCAGCTGATAGTGTCAGTTGATTCTGACTTTAAGCGACAGGAACCTATTTGATTGTAAGTGAACGCTTATCACTCAAAACTATTTTGAAGGAGACTGAAGGTCAAAATTACGCAAGTTTCCGCGTTGGTGCCCCACCCTTCTACGTTACGTCGGGGTCCCACGCTGTATAATCCGCTCAGTACCACCCTAAATCCACTACTGTTGCAGCTACCTTCCAATGCTTCCTAAAAAAAAAAACAGCCGCCAGTCCCGGCCGTGCAGCGTGCTGCGCACGACAGTCGCTTAGCCAACTACACGGGTCATTACTGGCCTGCATGACCGGTATCACACGGGCCATTTGACGCCCGGAACATCGCCAAGAAAAAACGCCAAGTTTGGCTTTTTCTGCTTGCTGGGCCACTGAACACCAGCGAGAAGCGATCATAAATATAGCGGAGCGAAGCGCCACTCCGTGAGGTTTCTGACTCGGTCGAGCGACTTCGTCACATGACCAATACCCGACCGACGGAATCTGTGAACTCGCGATGGCTTCCGGTATTGCAGCGGGTAAATCCCAGTCGGGTGTTTTAGCCATACAGTCTCCTATATGCCGCAAATAGACTGTGGTGTTGTTCGAAACACAATGAACGCCTGACATCCCTTACACAGCCACAGGGAGCTGAGTGCTTCGATTAAGCGCCCCTGTTTCCGCTTGTTAACACGGCCAAACAACGATGCTGGTGCTTGGCTATGCAACCATATCCGTAAAACGGGGGCGATTTGCTGCCGTCTGTTGTTCTGCAAACCAGGCATAGCAGAAACATGCGTGCTGGTAGGTATGAATTGGGCATGTCAGCTTTCTGCACGAAATAGTGGAAAGCTAGGCCATGCTAAGTGACTGACGTTAGCATTAAGCAATTATGAGGAAGGCGGTAAAATTGGTTGCTGATATTAAATCGGCAATCAGCAACAGGAAATATACGTACAAAACGGAAGAGAGAGAGAGAGAGAGAGAGAGAGAGAGAGAGAGAGAGAGAGAGAGAGAGAGAGAGAGAGAGAGAGAGAGAGAGAGAGAGAGAGAGAGAGAGAGAGAGAGAGAGAAGAGAGAGAGAGAGAGAGAGAGAGGGGGGGAGGGGTGAAGAGAGACCGGAGGTGACGTAACATGAACGGCCACACGACACAGGAAGCCCATCTTGCGTGTCTGTGTGCGGATGTCCCGATACAGCATTGTGACCCTGGAGCGGGTGCTTCGATACTATGGCCCTGGAGCAGGTACTCTGATACAGTGACCCTGGAATTATCATGGGGTGCAGTGACAGCCGCCCCGCGGGCCAGGAACGGGAGGCCACGCTCCGTGTGATATGCCATTCACTGAGACGGCAGAGCGGACGACCAATCCCAGCGCGCACGGCTCGCCGGCCGTCGACAAGTGAAGCATGTATCAGGGCCTCCTCTAACATACCCACTGGGTGGGCAAATGCCCACCCAGTCACCACAATTGCCCACCCAGTGGCGTCGATTTGCCCACCCAGTAGCAAATGCAAAAATCCTGGTCCGGCCGGACGTCCGGTACTACCTTTCTGGTCTTAAGCAAACTGGATGCTGTTTGAAGGTCAAAAAAAGTTTTCTGGTTGCCCGATATTCAGGGGCGTAGCCAGGATTTCCTCAAGGAGGGCGCCAACCGCACAGGGGCCCAAGATAACCCCCTCAAAATCCAAAAAGCCATCTGGTTGCATCCAATATTTTTTTGGAGGGAGCCCAAATAAATAGGAAAAAAATATTTATTAACAAAAATATTAGAACTTAGGGGGTAAGCAGTCCATGGGCCCTGTTAGATAGGCCCACGAATAGCTTCATAGAGTCGCCAGTCGGTTTTGAGGGCGGTCTGAGGGCCCGTAGGTCGGATGAGGGTTCTTCAGACCGTCAGAGGCCCCTACAGCGCATGAGAGCCTCGTAAGCCGTCTGAGGGTCATATAAGCCGCCTAAGGGCCACTAAGACCGACAAAAGCCCTCCTTGCACTTGCAGAGGCCCAGTCATGCCGACGGAGGGCTCTCTTAGACAAACTAAGGACCCGTTCAGGGCATTTGAGGGCTTCCTCAAACCGATAGGGCCCCCTCAAATCGACAGTGGATCCGATCCGAGCTCCCTCAAACCGATATAGGGTCAGACCAACAGTCGGAACGCATTGATTCTGTTTACACACCGTTGGACCCAAGTTGGACCCATCCCATCCAACTGGCCCCCTGGTTTCAATAGGGCCCCAAGGCTCTAAAATTGGGGCTCTCTTGGCCAAAGTATAACTACTCAGCTGTGTCAAAGGATCTACCGCAGGGGCCTTTATGTCGCCAAGGGCCCACTGTGTCAGCCAGGGGCCCCTATAGAATAAGGACCCCTGGCTTCCAGGGGGGGCATGGTCCCTTTGGCCCCCTCCTTGGCTATGCCACTGCAGGTGAGAAACGTTCTTCCAGGCGACCAGGGGGCAGGGGCCAGGCGACCAGGCCCCCAGGCGACCAGGGGCCCCCAGGCGACTAGCCCTCAAGCGACCGGGGCCCCCTAGGCGACCAGGGGCCCCAGAAAACCGGGGGTCATCGGATGAGTGCAGGGGCCCATTGGGTCATCAGAAGGCCAGAGAAATGAAACTTCGATATCAATTTTCTTCCGAGTAAAAGACGTTTTATCCAGTGTTTGAAAAAAATATCCCGGGGCCTGAGGGGCTCTCCCATGGCGCGTTTTGCGCTCAAGGGAGGGGGCCATTGCCCCCGTGGCCCCTCCCCCTTGGCTACGCCCCTGCCGATATTGTTATTCATGGACAAAGCCAGCTAAATCTCTAAATACGGCTGAGCTGAACAAATAAGCAAGAATCATTACCGGTTCGGGTAGCCTTTACTACAATGTATTATGTTAGTTAGCCCTCGCCCGATGAGGGGGGTTGATGCACCCCCCTAAGGTTTTTCACAAATAACGTAAAAACGGCGGCGCTCAAATTTCGCATACCCTCTGGGGCAACCTTTTGGCACTTGTCCTGAAAATTTCAGGTCTCTAGTCTTTTCAGGTCAGGTCACCAGGTCACAAACCCGGTACAAGGTCAGGGGAAAATTGGACTAACAGTTTAGCGGCAACCGAATGCCAGAGTTTTTCGTTGATAGCGTGAGTTCTATAGCACGTAGCGCTACCAAATTTAAGACACGACTTGGAGCATCTGTTTGTCACTTGGCCTTGGAGTTTTAGGTTCCAGTGACCCGAGGTCAGGTCACAAGGTCACAAAAACTGGTGCATTGTCAAAATAGCAAGAATACCGAATAAGAATACCTACCTACCACGCAGTTTGCAGAGGGCTGTAAATGTAACTCTGGAACGAATCGCTCGAGCATTGCTAACCATAAAACATACGACAAACGTTAACTTTGCAAACTATCATCTTATTTGCAATAACGGCACTGCTTATTTCGCCTCACCCCCGCCCCCCCCCCCCCCCCCGGTAACAGGTTATGAAATTGGTTGAACCCCAAAACAGTGGCTGGATCACGTCTGTCAAGACAGCCTCAGATTCAGATTCACTTTCAGAATCACATTCGGACCCCCTTAGATTTTCATAAAAACTGGTCCATGGGTACAGTTTTGGACGCTGATTCCAATGCTGAAGTCTGTTTTTCGCCACATATTATACTTTGGCCCCTAGAGGCATTCAAAGTTTTTTTGGGGGCGAAGGGGGACCCCCTTAGACTTTCATAAAAACTGGTCCATGTGTACAGTTTTGGACGCTGATTCCAACGGTGAAGTCTGTTTTTCGCCACATATTATACTTTGGCCCCTAGAGGCATTCAAAGTTTTTTTGGGGGAAGGGGGACCCCCTTAGATTTTCATAAAAACTGGTCCATGTGTACAGTTTTGGACGCTGATTCCAATGGTGAAGTCTGTTTTTCGCCACATATTATGCTTTGGCCCCTAGAGGCATTCAAAGTTTTTTGGGGCGAAGGGGGACCCCCTTAGATTTTCATAAAAACTGGTCCATGGGTGCAGTTTTGGACGCTGATTCCAATGGTGAAGTCTCTTTTTCGCCACATATTATACTTTGGCCCCTAGAGGCATTCAAAGTTTTTTGGGGGAAGGGGGACCCCCTTAGATTTTCATAAAAATTGGTCTATGTGTACAGTTTTGGACGCTGATTCCAATGGTGAAGTCTGTTTTTCGCCACATATTATACTTTGGCCCCTAGAGGCATTCAAAGTTTTTTTGGGGCGAAGGGGGACCCCCTTAGATTTTCGTAAAAACTGGTCCATGTGTACAGTTTTGGACGCTGATTCCAATGGTGAAGTCTGATTTTCGCCACATATTATACTTTGGCCCCTAGAGGCATTCAAAGTTTTTTTTGGGGGCGAAGGGGGACCCCCTTAGATTTTCATAAAAACTGGTCCATGTGTACAGTTTTGGACGCTGATTCCAACGGTGAAGTCTGTTTTTCGCCACATATTATACTTTGGCCCCTAGAGGCATTCAAAGTTTTTTTTTGTGGTGAAGGGGGACCCCCTTAGATTTTCATAAAAACTGGTCCATGTGTACAGTTTTGGACGCTGATTCCAATGAAGAAGTCTGTTTTT